AGTACCTTGAACATGGAAAGTTACCTGAAGATCCGCGACAAAGAACAGACATCAAACGAAGAGCGCCACGATTCATCTTCTATAAGGGGACATTGTTTCGCCGCTCTTTTGAAGGACTATTCTTGCGATGTCTTGACAAAGAAGAAGCCTGCCAAGCGATGGAGGAAGCACATTCTGGCTCATGTGGAGCGCACCAATCGGCTCCAAAGCTCCATTTTCGCATCAAGAGGATGGGCTACTACTGGACGACAATGGTGAAGGCATGGATCATGCCATAAGATGTCAAGCGTGTCAATATCATGCTAACTACATCCACCAACCTCCAGAGCCTCTTCATCTAACTTTAGCTTCATGGCCTATTGATGCATGGGGACTTGACGTTGTTGGACCGCCTCCAAAGTCATGAAAGGGACATATTTACATATTGGCCGCTACAAACTACTTCTCTAGATGGGCTGAAGCTGCTCCACTCAAGGAGGTGAAAAAGGAGACTGTTGTCGATTTTATCAAGTCATATATAATTTTTAGGTACGGCATACCAAGATACATAATCACTGATAATGGAACGCCGTTTGACAACAAGCTCATGAAGAGTATGTGCGAGAAGTTCGGCTTCAAGCAACATAAGTCTTCAATGTATAATGCACCCGCCAACGGTCTTGCTGAAGCTTTTAACAAGACGCTTGGTAACCTTTTGAAGAAAGTTGTTGCAAAGAACAAGAGAGACTGGCATGAGAGAATTGGTGAAGCTTTGTGGGCATACCGGACAACCTTCAGAACTACTACACAAGCAACTCCTTACTCTTTGGTATATGGCACAGAAGCAGTCCTGCCGTTGGAGCAACAAATTCCATCATTGCGGATAGCAATCCAAGAAGGACTCACGTCCGAAGAGAATGCTCAACTTCGCCTAGCAGAGTTAGCGGCAATGGATGAGAAAAGATTGGAAGCGCAACAAAAATTGGAATGCTATCAAGCTCGACTAGCTAGAGCCTTCAACAAGAAAGTGCGGCCACGATCATTCCAAGTGGGAGACTTAGTCCTAGCTGTTCGACGACCCATAATC